TCTCTCTCTCTCTCTCTCTCTCTTCTCTCTCTCTCTCACTCACTCTTCTTTCTCTCCGTCTTCCTGTCCCCCTCTTCCTCTCTTCCTCTCTCTTTCTCTCCGTCTTCCTTTCTCCCTCTTCCTCTCTCTTTCTCTCCGTCGTCCTGTCTTCTTCTCTTCTCTCTCTTCCTCTCTCTTCTCTCTGTCTATCTACCTATCTATTTATCTATTTATCTATCTATTTATCTATCTATCTATCTATCTACATATCTATCTATCTATTTACATCGCCCCCCCTTTCTCCCCTCTCGTCATATATATTTTTTTCTCTCTCCCTCTCCACACCCCACTCGCTCCCTTTTTGTAATCTATGCACCCCAATGCAGGGAACGTGTTACGATGTGGGATATATATTTTACAAAAATGAAAATAAAAAACGTGTTTTTTGAAGACCCAGTAACATGTCAGTTACCCAGCGCTTAAGCACAAAAATAACAAGGTTTACCAATAATCCGACTTCAAGAACAGTTGGAAACAAACTAAAACATTATGTCCATAAAATGAACGGAAATAAATGGTAAATGCTGTGATCAAAAGAGGGTTGACAGGCAAGCTTTCAGAGAAGAGAATATGATCCACGTCAAATATAGTCACGTACATAGAAAGCCTTCGTCGACATCTTATGTAAAGGAATCAATATCTATTTATTGGATCATAAATAAACGGCTCGAGCTCGTTTTAGGAGGGAACAAACCATGAGGTCAAATAACCATCCTGTTACCAGGTCCCTGAGAAGGTCAAAATAGCAGGCATGTGGACGAGAGGAGAGGCAGGGGAGGTCGGGATTGGTTGGCAGGGAGAGGGGGCTGGTTGGCTGGGAGGGTCAGGGGGATGCGTACCCCCCTCCCCTGAGAGCAGCACACGGCCAGGTCGCTCGCGGTGGCACAGCGACCGTGAGTAATTTGATAAAACCCAATTAATGGTGTTGCAGTTGTCTCTTCTGTGACGCCGCGTCAGAGAAAGGCTGGAAGGGAGAAAGAAGGAGAAGGAGAAAGCGGAGGAAATAGTATTACTCGCTGGGTCACAGAAGGCTGGAAGGGAGAAAGGAGAAGAAAACAGAGGAATGGAGGAAGGAGAATGAATGAATCTCGGAAAAATAAAATTACACAGAACTGTAGCTGAGGGAAGAAAAAAAATGAGTGAGTTTGGTTAAGAAGCCCGAAAATAGCCAGGGAAAAAGTCAGGCGATGGAATTCATAGGGAAAGGTTACAAGGAAACTTTAACAAGTTGGTTAAAGTCAGGAAAACGGAGGAAATAGGAGAAGTTGGGGAGGAGTGAGCCGTGTGATAAAGTTTACGACACCGGAGTGACCAGGGAAGTGGAAGCAAAGAAGAAAATGAGAAGAAGCAAAGAAGAGAAAATGGGACGCAACATTGCACCTTGGAGACCGTCACGGGAAAAGAGTATTGAAAAATGGTCATAAGTGAAGAACCGCATTCCAGCGGAAGTAAAAAGAGAAAACGAGAGGGAGAACGGTTGTAAACACATAAAACTACGATTAAAAAAAGAAATGAAAAAAAAAACGGTCGGGTATGAGTTCATCCACACGATGATAATTGCAAAGCTGGAAAATGAAGAGCGCAATTAAGAACATTTAATAAGTATTCACCTACATAAGAAGTATATTGAACGCGCTTACCTGGTGCTTCTATTTATCCTCTCAGCCCCTAATGATAAGAAAAATTTCCAAATAAAACCCCCAAATTTATATAACAAAAAAAAAAAAACAAGGTGATATATATCTTTGGTATTTGTACTTTTTGTACCCTTTGTTGCCTTTCTTCGTCAATCTCATAAGAATACAACCCAACAACCTGGTTTGTATTTTTCCGATCTTACATAATGCTAGATCGTTATTATTATTATTATTATTATTATTATTATTATTATTATTATTATTATCATTATTATTATTATTATTATTATTATTATTATTATTATTATTATGTTATTATTATTATCCATCATCATCATCAGTATTGTTTTGTTGTTATTATTATCATTATTATTTTCATCTTTATTATCATCATTATTATCATCATCATTATTGTTATTATTGTAATTATTATCATTACTGTTATTGTCATTATTGTCATTATAGTCATTATCATATCACCATTATAATTACCATTATTATTACTATCATTATCATCATGATCCTGTCATGCTTGTTGTTTCTGTTGCTGTTATCATGATCATTACTATTGTTATTATTATCATCATCATTATCATTACCATTGTTGTCATTATGTTTATCATTATTGCTAATGCTTTGATTATTAATTATAATTTTTATTTCGTGCCATTATCACCATTTTCATCATTCCTACGCACAGAAGGCAGAAGTAGAAGGAAAGAAAGGAAGTAAAGGAAGACAAAAGTAAGTGAAATGCGGCTTGTCAATACCGTAGAGTTTTCACACACCATATCGATCTCGTAAACACTGTACTGTATTTTTTACTCCTAATGATATCACTGCGGACAGTCCTACCTATACGAAGCAGTAAATAGATACACCAGAGAAATATGGACGTAGATATGCGATAGCTTGGGAAGGGGGGGCGAATAGGAACACTATTTCACTTGCCACCAAATTAAGGATAAGTAACATTGTTATTGTCATCAGCACTATTTCAAGAGGTATCATCATTTTAATCCTTTCCAGCACCATCACTGGCGTTATCACTTTATGATAACAATTTTTGTCATCATTAAGAAGAAGAAATAAATTAAAGAAAGAATTTTGTATCAATGATAAGCTTATTCCCTGGCCGCCCCTCTTCTGAGGATAACACATATCAACATCTATACTCTGATGTTTTCATACATTGTTTCGTATAGGTAGGACTGTCCGCAGTGATATCATTATGAGTCAAAAATACAGTACACTATTTGCGTGACCGATATGTTATGTAGAAACTCTACGGTACCAACACGCCGCATTTCATTTACTCTTCCGTCTCCCGTTTTTCCCTTTTTTGCTTTCTTTTTCTTTCTTCCGCATTCCTTTCTTCTTCTTCTTCTTCTTCTTCTTCTTCTTCTTCTTCTTCTTCTTCTGTCACAGGTGCATAAGCACAATAAATCACGTTAGCAGGTGACTGGAAACATAAAAAGGAACTCTTGTGCTTCCTAAAACGAGAAATCCAGCAAAGATTCAGACTTCCATTATGCAGCAAACACGAAATCCTACTACACTCTGTCCAAATTTTGTACACGAAGCACTTTGCGTCACGGACATGGCCGGTGATGAAAAATCTCCGATGGAAAACTAATCCTTTGCGAATCAGTACCTTGGAAATCCTTCTCTGCGACCTCCCTCTCAGCATGCCACTGCCAAAGGGTCCCCTGGTGTGGCGCTGTGACAGCCCGCCACCTCACTCACACAGGGAAAAAAAACGTTAAAATTTCTTCAGTCCTCCGGCACTGAACCATTAACGAGTGGTCTGTTCGCATAGCTTGCAGCCCTGTGACGCTCGCAGATAAATGTTTTGGGGGAAATTAACCTGAAACGAAAATGCATTAGTCAAATAGATTATGTTATCTGATTTCATGTTGAATTTGAAAAAAAAAAAAAAAATCGGCACTACCGTTAGTGCATTATTTATGTTGGCAAAAATGTAACAATTATTCTAATGAATTGTTCAGAATGGGGCCTAAAGGGAATTATCTTGTATTTATATAAATGTTTTTGTGTTGCAGACTGCGGGAACGCTGGCCAGGCCCTCCCAGCTGACGTCGTGGTGATCTGTCCGCGAGAACACACGCACCAGCAGCGACCGAAACCAAACCCACAATCACAACAACCACAATCCCAGTCAGAGCCGAACCAACAGGGAAATTTGGCATCCGGACACATCGCACACCCACAGCAGCTGCATTCAGAGCCGCAGCAGCTCCAGCAGCACGGGCTGAAATCCACACGACAGGGGAACGAGCTTCGACGAATACCGAGGCCATTCCAGTTCCTCGCTCAACGGCCCAAACAGAGCCAGCAACGGGGCCTCCCTCATCTAACAAGGTGAGAAACGGAAGGTATACGCACGTAATTGCGGTGTGTGTGTGTGTGTGTGTTTGTGCACGCGCGCGTGTGTGTGTGTGTGCGACTGCGTTTGTGTGTCTGAATCGGTGTCTCTGCTAATGTCCATGTCTGCTTGGTTCCCGAACTCATACAGTATGTTCACATTTGTATCTTTACAGTTATCTTTATATCCCTTTCTCTTATTCACAAATCCCCGCTTTCGTCAAACTCTAATTGGAGGAGATAATTAGGTCAGACATAAAAGAGTGAATCTCTGCAATGAAGCGATCTGTGCAACTTTTAATCCCCCTTGATCTACAATATAAATTATGAATATAATCCCCCATTACCGTTAATGATAAACGATATGCTCTGGGTGTACTCACATGTAATATACTTTGTGTCCGACTCTTTGTGCAATTGTCTGTCTATCTCTCTCCCTATAAATATTTTGGTGTTTTCTTGTTTTTCTTTCTTTATATTTATTGCGAGTCTACTCTAAGTCTTTGTATTTGTTATTGCATCACGAAATGCAGTGTTTCTCTTTTCCAGTTCATCCTTAAATAAATAATCCTCGTTGCTGTAACATATCAAATGACATCACGGTAACGTACAAATCAGCACGAAGGCCTTCCTCACATTCAGCGTTTCTGAGGAACCAGATACCGTCGTCTTTCCTCCATTCTCTCGCCGTCATTATGAACGAGCAGCTCTGCCAGCACCTGTCAGGCCTGCCGCCTTTTGCCCCTGACCTCTCCATCCCCGCCCTCAGCCCTTCTTCAGGGGCGTCGCTCCAGCATCTGGTGTGACAGGCGGATGCCAAGGCTAGACGACAAAACGCGGGGACCCGACGGGGAGCGAGGGAGGCTCGGCTCCTCTATGTTACAGCTGCAATATTGATTGCAATTTGATTCCCAACCGCGATAACCGAAGTTGTCAACA